GTACGTAACTAACTAACTAACCTAACCTACTATATATATATATATATATATATATATATATGTTTTTTATATGTATATGTATATATCTATACTTTTGTTATGAGGCCTCTTTACAAGCATATACCTATGAAGCTCGAATGAATAATATTCAGTATGTTGTTTTGACGGACCTATCGCTCTCTTCCATTGCCTCTTCCTGGAAGCATTTCTGCCATGATTGCTTTTTTTTCATTAAGTTGTTCTTGTTTTGATATATCTTTCATCTCCCTCGTTATCCGCAGCTACAACACGACCCAACCTACGCAGTCATTTTGGCCTTCGATGTCAAAGTGGACAAGGACGCACAAGACATGTGCAAGGAGATGGGCGTGACTCTCTTTACGGCCGATATCATATACCATCTGTTTGATAACTTCACTGCCCACCTTGCGGTAAGCCTACTTGTGTCTCTGTGGAGCGTTTCAGTGTATGTGTATATCATCTGGTTGTGTGTGTGCGTGTGTTATCTGTGGTGTGTGTGGAAAACGTTCGTTCTTGTTTCTTCTTCGCCTCAGCCACACCAACGAAGAACTCGCTTGGGCCCACAATACAAGTCCGTTGGATTGGTCGTGTGCTCGATAGTTCTCTCGAGCCAATGCCTGCCCGGTCCCAACTCTAAAGGTTGCGGAGCAGGTCCATCCGTACCGTGGCTACCACATGCACGTGCGCAACACAGCACTGGTGTTCGTCTTTATGTACAGTATAGGGTGTGTGTATAGTCTTGAGGGGTGTGTGTATAGTCTTGAGGGGTGTGCTCTCTGGCTTTGCCATGCATGTCGTATTCTATCGTCATAGTGGGCCCATTCGGACCCTTATCCCTAATTAAATCGTTGATCCTACATACCTTTTTGCGCGGTTGTCCTGCAGGCTATCAAGGCGAAAAAGAAGGAAGAGAACGCACACTTGGCCTGGTTCCCATGCCACTTTGTCATCAAACCAGGTATAGTCACGCCCCATTGTAAATGCACTATATCGCGTCTGCGGTGTGTGATCCGCCTAGAATCCATATGTACGCCACATTTCGGATGTTCCCAACCCTTGCAAACGTCATGTGTCAGGATAGTTACCTGTACACACGGATGTTACCCCTTTGCTTATACAACAACATACAACAACAGCAAAGCAGTAGACTTCATTAACTTTAGGGTTTAGGGTTTTAAGTCGTGCACTCATACGAGCGCACTGCCCTTTTACAATACTCCACAGAGTTTGTCATCAACAAGCGTGACCCGATCATTGTGGGTGTGGATATCTTAGAGGGACGACTGACGGTGGGTGTGCCGGTGTGTGTACCATCCAAAGACGGTCTGATCCTGGGCACAGTGCAGTCTATTGAGATCAACAACAAGGAACTCCACGAGGCAAAGGTACGTATTCTCACGTGCTGGTGCAATATCTAAGACGGCTTAGGCGCGTGGGCGTGGGTTGGATGGTGTGGGTAGTATACGAGTGCCTGCGTGTATGTATCTCGTCTAGGTCTTGTTTTATAACGGCTGATTGTACCCGACCTATGTATAATATACTACGCACAGAGAACAAGACACTATCTCGTACTACGGGTACATAAGGTCGTTATCCCTTTGTACTATGATCTCCGGTGTAACACCCGTTCCCTACCATGCACCACTACCACAGGTGGGTCAGTCCGTGGCCATTAAAATCGCTAACTTCGGGTCGGAGGCACCGAAGATGTATGGGCGTCAGTTTGATTCGACCGACGCTATATACACCCGACTGACGAGAAAGACGATTGAGGTGTTGAAGGAGCACTTCAGGGATGAGATGACCAAGCAGGATTGGTAAGTGGCTTGTTTTCTTTTGACTTCTGTCGGATCATATTCTTTAGTGATTGTCACCACAGGCAGCTCTGCTCAGGACACCATGTGTGCGTAGTAACTGATCACCTGTGCAGGGGATTCTCGATTCCATAAAACATATAAATCCAAAAGTTTAAACAATTATTAGATTGTACGAATAGGTGCATCGTGTTGGACTGCACTATTCTATACCAATGCTCATATACCATGAACCAATACACTCATATACCATACCGTGAACCAATACACTCATATACCATACCATGAACCAATACACTCGTATACCATACCATGAACCAATACACTCATACACCACACCATGAACCAATACACTTATATACCATACCATGGACCAATACACTCATATACCATACCATGGACCAATACACTCATATACCATACCATGAACCAATACACTCATATACCATATGAACTACCACACACTTCCAGGAGGCTGATCGTACGGATGAAAACGCTGTTCAACATCATGTAAATGGCAAGCGACTCTGCGGTGTTCTTGGCCAGTATTTAGTTTGGCGCGCGTAACTAGTGCGTGGCTATAATTGGGGCAAGTTTAGTGCAGGTGGACGGTACTTCCTCTGGTTGACACGTGGTGTCGGTCCAGAGCGGCCGATATCAGTATCTGCAACGGAAGCGCTGAATAAATGATGTACGAATATTGCTCACGGTTCGCTGTACCCGTTATGATAGCATATAGGCTGTTGTTTATCCTTGGTTTCGTCTGTGTAATATACTTTTGCAGAGGTATATGGTTTTGCTCGCAGCATGTACGGGTATAATCTTTGCCTGGCTGAATCTACTTCACAATTGATACTTCACTGCCCGCCGCCTGTGTAGTGCTATGGCTTCTTCACTTATCACTCCAGAGTCTTGCTGAAATTCATTCATGCCGGCAGGTCTGTGGTTCTAAGCAACGTGCAAGTGCACTTCGATATTACATCGGTTACTGTACCCGATTCGGAGTGATCAAGCTTCTAGTTTTGCAATCGAGGTTCCGCTACATGGACCTCATTGAAATTCAAATTTGTGGTAGGAAGAGTGTGGGTAAATGGTATCTTTTGATCTGCTTGATGATTTATACATACATTTACGTGTATTTAACTTCACACTATGTATGGTTTGTCTAACCGTTAAACACTCTGACGGCGTTGCCCGTTTATAGGCCCCCGAATTTACAATCGTTAATTTCACATCAACCGGAACGCAGAATGCACCTGCTTTGTTCACGCAACTAGAATAGGCGAGGGGGTTCGAATAGAGTATTTATTATTCATTGGAATCCATCGAGGACTATGGCTCGGTTGCTAAACCTTACTGTGGGCATTTCTTGCGGCGAAGCATGGTTCGGTGGTCCGCTTTCTCGTCCAGCAGGCTGCTACAAAATATCCTGTCCGGTCCTAAAATTCATCCTCACAGGGCCGGTCCTCAAACAGATCTTAACAGGGCACTTTGTTGCTTGACTACTAGTCACACACTTACAGCCATGATCACGCCCGGATCAGTATCTTACTAATATTTGATTAGCCACCCACAGATGCATCGAACACAAGCCGTTGCAGTGCCTTCCAACCCAACGTGCCTTGGGTAGTGCAGGTCTGACCACCCCAGCGTGGCCACAGACCGCGCCAGGTCTGCAAGGGGCTAGTCTGCGATTGGTGAGGATCTGTAGACCCAGCTTCAGCAGTCTCATCTGTGCGTCAATGCGATATAGTCACAGCGGAGCGAGGGGGACGAAAGACCCGTACCTCCCCTACTGACTACCTCGTACTATAGCGCAGGGATTAAGGCCTTCGCTTCCTCTTCTTGGCCTCTTGCTTGGCTTGCTTGGCTAGTTCTTCTGGCGTCAACGGATCCTCGGGCAGACCAGGCTCGCACCACGGTGTCTCCTTCTTATCACACATCAGGTTGACCTCCACCATGTTCACCTGTCGATTGGCTATCGTGATCTGGTTGATGCACGCATCATCCCAGGTAGTGGTGTTGTATCCCTGGATATAAATATATGTATATATATATATATAGTAAATTAGATCACTCGTCAAACTCTCATTGATTCATCATGTCATAAGACATCCCGAGGTATACGAAGCAGAAACACAAACGCAGTGTGGCCGGGAGACAGTACGCGCACAGGTGGAACAGCTGACAGTGAAGCCAGTGCACACTTTGCAACTTGACGTTGTGCTATGGACTTTCGTCACGTCCCACACACACAACTGTACATATACATGCACACTCACAACTGTACACATACATGCACACTCACACAAATGTATACATACATGTACACACAGATTTGTCAAGAAAAATGCAATAGACTTGTTGCCATGCTCTGCGCATAGACTGCAATACTATATAGAGCATACAATCGGCATTGCGTAGAGTGAGAGCCCCGATCTAGTACAACACGGTCGACTCCTAGAAAACACTCATGGGTAAGAAGAGCAATACATGCCAGATAAGGACTCACAAATTGAATGTACGTACGGTACACAAACACACACACACACATCTGTACGTACACATACACGTCCAAACTTGCATATACACAAGTGCATGGGTGTCTTGCGCATGCATACAAGACAGTATACTTGTACATGATCAATACACAAGCAGATACGTGTCGCTTGCGAACCTACATTGGTGACATCGGTCGTATCAAATATCTTCCGCTGCCCGCCCGTCCGTTTCGTATCACGCTCCCTCTCCTCACCTGCAATAGATTGGCAATGTTTACGTCAGTCCAGCATTGAGATAAAGCCCAGGATGTATCAGAAAAGGTCAGTAGTAAGAAGGTAACCTCAGCAAGTAGAACCCAAGCTATTGACGTGCGACGGTCATTTGAAGCACACAAGCGCACGTCGATATATATACTCCAGTGCCTAACCCCAACATCCGGCCAATACATCAAGCTAACCACAAGGCCGTCATCGCACATGTCGACGAGAGCATGGACATGAGTAGCCACACACACACAATAGCCACTAATACCGCAGCAACTATCGTCCACAGCACTGTGCACCTGGATGTGCGTTTGTATACACACACAGCCAGGTAGCTTGCCAGTAGTACAGAATCTAAACAGCCAGCGTACCATGTATGTGGATGAAGGTGCTTTTCTGTCCAGACTTCAGTTGTGGTGGCCGGTAAATTTGAAGGTCTTGCAATAGTATCCGCCGGCGGAACTCGTCGTCCTCCTTGCCCCATCCCCAGAACTGCATTGTACCAATTACGTGCACTATGAGTATATCTGTATGAGTATTTTAGAGACTAGTCTATGCGCTGTCTTGTGATAACATTCAATATACAACTCAGGTGAACCTAGAAGAGTATGGCCTTGGTTATACAGTCAGAGTTTGTGAATGCCGATACGTAACTCAGGAAATGGCTCAGAACAATCACGGGCTACATCATTATCGTCGGAGAATTTTTGCGTTGCTATGACAGGTTCTACCGAGCAATTCAGTAGTTAACTGGACAGCGGCACATGCCGGTGCCATCAATCACGCGATCTGATACTTAGTCCTTCGGCGTAGATGCGTGTAATTACACTGCAAGTATACTGAACTCTGAATAAAACGTTATACGGTTCGTTCACCATACATGTGCATCAACAGAACGTACTATATACCAAACACGGATATGAGAGTCGTTTCCGTACTGGGTGTAAGTACGAACACGCTTGTGATAGACACACCAGAGCGGCACATGATCAGTCAAACAGGCGCACAAGACAAATGGCCCATGAGTATCCGAATGCCTGCACCTTCATCTGTGTATCACAAGACAGTCTATACTGTAGCTTGTCCCTATCACGCCACTAACTCACAACGTGTACGTTTACCGCCCTGTACCTTGTTGGAGAAGCCATTGATTTGCATGTAGTTTGCTTTGGACATTATCAGAATACCACCCAAAAATTTGCTGAATTTGTATTTGGGGTGCAGCCCGGGGGCGGCCACGTGGTACGGGCCCTTCTCGGGAAACCTGACAGTAGCAAGACCGGTATCGTGAGCGGAGACCTATTAACATGTTTGTGGTAATGCTAGGATAAGTGGTACCTGCTGTGAGTTGAGACCTGTGCTATTTCGCAAGGGAGGACGATTGCTGTCTAAGTATGTGCACGGACCCTCTGTATGCCGTTGTAGTGTTGATTGACCTGTATATGAAAAATGTACTACACCAACACTATCTCGCAAGACAAGACTAACATCTTAAAGTAACAGTTCGTGAACAACTAACCCCTGCTTCCACCCACCATGCGTAGCCCATACCGGCCAACCACAGCACCATACCTATAGTTCAGCTCAATCTGATTTGGCAACAGATCCACATCGTGCAGCGCAATGTAGTCACAGTCAAAGGCACCGCTCATGATGGCCCCAATGTTCAGCAGTGACCCTCGGTTGAACCTCCAGTCATCTAACTGGTTGGTGATCTGTCATAGTATTCGTGTAGGGCGTGCATCATGCATGAGATCTGCAACCGTGTTTCAAGTGGAGGGCAAGTCGTCTGCGGGATCTGCAGCAGCACGTGCATAGACGCATGCGATCTATGAGAGGCTGTACAGGAGAATCGGCACCGAAAGTTGCGCCTCTACAGCTGTGTCGATGACATCCGATGAGTGTGTGGCTTGCCGCAAAGGGCTTAGAAGTGCTCATGCATTGCATAGACGGGTGACTGTTGTTCATTACACGCACCAGTAAACTATAAATATCTGTGGTGCGTGGTGCAGCCCTTTCAGTGAGTGTGTACCCGCCGGTCCCACAGGAGAGGGGCGAGTGACAACGCCGATTTATTTATAAGTTCTCAGGGGATACCCCAGCATGTTCAGCAGAAGGAAACGCTACACAGATACATAAGCACAACAAACGTCTAGAAATGCCTTAGCCGCGAGTGTTCACCCGTCGTATAAACACATGATAATTTAAGTATGGGCACAATAGGAGTACTGCCGCATCAGACAGCGCACGTCACGTGCGAATATGCCTGCGAGTATTCATCATCGCTATGCAGGCCAGACTTAGAATCCAACTGTAACATTGCACCAGGGCAACAAACACCGATCCTAGGAGCTCATGGTTGTAATGTCCACCTAACACCTAATCCCAGCTACCAACACACACCAACACTACATACAAAGTATTCGTGGTCGACGCCCTGGGCTTTCAAGAACTTCTCCATGTGGGGCACAAACGTTTGAAGCTCCTGTGAGGATATGGAACGGCGTCAAGTGTACACGCACATATAGCCATCACTTTACATGGTTAGGATTGGACCGAGATGCATTCTTTTTTCGTGTTGTGTGCAAACTCGATATCGAATCGGCTTCTGCATGAAATGTGCACCCCGCTTTTCAGAAGCAACCACGAGGATGTCATTTGTATAACTAATATTTGTTCGTGGGGATTTAAGCGCTGGTAACCTCTTTTTCAAGTTGCAAGCGTTTGCGATCGTAAACATGACATGATTTTACATAAGACATGGATCTACTTTTCCATAACAAAGTGTTGAACGTGGTACGGATTTGCGCCGAAGTAATTAAATTTATGACTTCTAATTGTATGTCCCGCGCACTTCCCTCGCTATATGGCACGGTCTATCCCATCTATATGTCGATGTATGTATATTGATGCCTCTTAACTTTTGTATGTTAATATAAAC